ACTCGTATTTATGTGCAAATCAATTCAATTATATTTTAAACTTTTCATAAAAATCTATTATCGAATAATATCATGTACATTTTACTTTTATTCATCAATATTTTTAAAGATAATTTCAATGTAAAACACGACAAGATAAAACATCTATGTATATATCAATGAGAAGAACATAACTCATCATGCAGTATCAATTTTTACTTTGAAAACTTTATTCTTGATTAATATTCTTCTTTTTTTATACAAATACTACAACAAACTATCGATAGCAATACACTGCAGTATTTTATTTAATCAATATTAATGGTTGAATACTTTTTCGTCTTGTTAAGTTTTCTAAAATCTTATCGGAGACAGAAAGGCAGACATTTCTTATTCAAATGCAATTTCTCTCATTTTCATAAAAGAATGTTTGTCCAAAAATGTTAAATAGTTCTAGACTGAAAATAATTAGCGATCTACGGTTGTACAATAAAGTCACACAAGTCGAAGATTTTTTTGTTGCTGCATTCGAATAATAGGTCTCATGCTTTGAGATCCTGAAAAATAATGCTTTTTACGCGACTCAACTCTAATTTGTAAGAAAACGTAGGCTCTTCTCCATGCTGAATTTTGTGGCAATACTTCTGATTTTTTCTAAATAGATAAAAACTAAATAGACAAAGATTAGCAAAAGCGGAGTTTTTAGTTCTTCTTTCGTTTCAATTAGATGATCACGATTCATCTATTTTATAATCAATTAAACTGAAATATTCAACATAGACTTCTACAAGTCATACCAGTTATTTTGAAACGATGTTGATCAAATGTTTTTTTTATCAGTGATTCATTGAGATTCGATGATTTTCATATCAGTCTATGTTACACACACTGTTGTAATATGATTGGTTTAGATAAATAAATGTTTGGTAATCAAACATTGAAAGGTATGTAACATATCTTTTGACAGAATAATATTGATACTTAGTGAAACACGAACAGTTATCTGAAATTCGTTTGTATATATATCTCGAAATACTATCAGACATGTCTCTAACAATGTTGAAAAGTAGCTTCATTAAACTTCGAAAATCCAAAACTTTATCGTTCATGTCATGTGATAACAGGCATAATTGGTTGGCGGTAAAAATATGAAATATAGGCTAAAAACATTTTTCTACTATTGAGTTAATTGTTACAAGACATTCTATTAGTGTCAATACAACTGTTGGTGGTATTCTTGACATAAATCATGCAAAGGAACTTGAAGAGAAACTTGGTAGATCGTTGACATTCATCTATCATTCCAAAGGAAACGATCTTAATGCTCAAGGCATGTGACATTAATTACCCATTATGATCTACAAAATGATGTAAGGACCGACCAGGCATATATTCAAACGTAACTGCAGCTGCTTTCTCAAATGCATGTCTGATGGTACTTTTTGATATATACAAACGTATTTCAGATAATAGTTCGTGTTTTACTAAGTATAAATATTAGTCTATCAAAAGATATGTTACATATTTTTCGATGTTATTAGATGTTTCATTACCAGATATTTATTTATCTAAGCCAATAATATAATAACAACGTCAATAATGTGTGTGACCTTGACTAATATGAAAAGCATCGAGTCGCAATGAGTAACTGATGAAAAAAAAACCTCGATCGAAATCGTTTCAATATAAATGGAATGACTTATAAAACGTCTTTCTGCAAGAATGAGGGATGTTAGAAAATCTATTGGTTTTAAAATGTGACAACCGATTTCTCTTTTGTGGCAATTTTACACACAAATCTCTTGGAAACTTATACGGAATATTTTAGGTCACTTGCTGAAAAAGAAAAGAGGAAGAATCTAAACATCATCTCTTTTGCTAATCTTTATCTATTGACTTTCGACCTATCTAGAAAAAAAACACAGAAGTACTGCCAGGAAATTTAACATAGATAAAGGCCTATGTTTTATTACCTATCCGAGTTGAGTCGAGTAAAAAAACTTTGTAGAATGTTTACGATCTAGAGCTATTCAACATTTTTTGGCATACATGCTATTATGAAAATGACAGTAGAAACTCGTAAATACGTCATAATTTCTTTGTTGTATAGATTTATCTTCTTAGCAATAAGAGAAAGACGATAGTTGAACACATTGTATCGTTTCAAGGTCGTGAAAAGCTTGGATCATTTTATTTTGAAGTTGAATGAAATTAGTAAAAAAAAAAAGAACTTGAATATGAAAAAAGAGAAGGAAAAAATATCCTTCTAATCGATTTCTTTTTCTTGACAAACATGAAAAACTACTTGAAAATGTGAATCGTAATAAAGCTTAATACTTTTTCTTGTTATAAAAAAAAAAGAATGAGAAAAATAAAGAAAATAAGTATTGTTTAGAGTCATTCTTATTATAATGATTGTTTTATTCGAGTTATAATCGATAATAGAGAGACTTTTTATTTTTCTATCAAGATGAAAGTTATTAAGTTTTGTTTCCTTTCCTGTTTTTTTTTTATATCTGAAAATCAATATAAAATGAAAGTATCACCTCTAGTATCGTTCTCAATCGATCAAGGTCAATAATATTTATTAAAACACAATAAATGTTTAAGAAGATTTTTCCACTTTGACAAGAACATTAAATCATTATTGATTTATATAAAGGATAATTGAAGAAAAAAAAAATACTTTCTAATCATAAATTTATATTATTTAAATAAAGAGATTTAAACAAATTTATGTTCATATTAATGAAAACATTTGAAATGTTTCTTTTAATAATTATACATTTTTTATTAATAATTTCTAAAAAGTTTAATATTTTTTATCGATTAAAATAAATAAAATTATGTTTGTCAAATAAAATAAAATATTGATTGATAAGATGAAGATACCTTTTGTTTTTTTTTGTTTCAAACGATTCTATTTGAAAATAATTTTATTTTTCTCGTTTAATTATTTATTTTTGTAATTTCTTTTATCTAAATTTGAGTGATATCAGCTAGAAAAATTAAATTATCTCTTATAATGAAGTCAAAGCTATGAAAAAAAATTTGATTAATGTAAATTGAGAGTATTTCAGTTTGCTATTTTCATAATCGATTAATATATTACTTTAGCTTGTGAATTTATCAAACAAAACCTATTAAGAAAAACTTGGTCTAGAAAAGTTCGAATCTAATGAATGATTTTTATTAAGAATATTATTTTGTATTGTTCAATAAAAGTCAACCTTTAACTGAGAAAAATGATTTTATACAGAAGAATTGAAAATAAAAATCTGATAGGTCATTGATCAATAAAGAAAATATTGATTATAATCAAATTATGAAGAATTTTATCAAAAGGCTAGACGAATAATTCAATAAAATCTTACAAAATTGAAGTGAACAAAAGAAAGTGTAATAATTCATGAACAATAAATCGAATTCTCTTTATTGAATTTGTTTGAAATTGAAAAAGAATTTCTAATTGATTTATTTTTTTTAATAGAAATATCTATCCTATACACAAAACTCGAACAACATCAATCGTTTTTTATTGTTCTCAAAAATTCTTTAATCTATTTTCTGTTAAAGTTAGTAACTTTTTTTTCTATTTGCTAATTTCATAAAATATGTGTGCAAGATTTTGCAACGAAAATATTATTCATTTAAATAATTAAGCAATATTTAGTTAATTATCAAAAAATTATTTAGTAATTTAATCATTCAAAATTTCATCTTTTATCATTTTATCAATATTATTATATATAAAAAATATCAGTTATTATAATTTAATTTATCATTCATTTCATTGTAGAATTAATACTAAAAGAAAACTCATTTGAAATATTTTCATATTTATTTATTTAAAATTTGCTTTACTCTGAATAAATAATTAGTATACGTGTACAGTTTAAGCACACCTATATTATTTATATACATAAAAAAACAAACATAACAGCAAAAACGTTATCGAGTAACAAGTATATCAACACCACCAAACGAGTCTACCCTATAAATAGTCATGTGGTTGTTAGCCAATAAATTCGTTTTTTCTATTCCGTCTTTTTTTTTCTGATGTAAATTACGAAAGCGGGTTTCTTTTAAATTGCAGATATACTGATTGAATTAGGAAGTGATGTTTTTCCGAAATATGTCATTCGAATAACAATTCATTTAATTGAATAGAATAAAAAACAAAATATGATGATCAACACATTGATATGTATTCAAAAAAAAATCATTTTTTATTGGTTTATTTGTTAAAACCGTTTGATTAATCTTATGTTTGATAACCTGATTTTTGGAATTCTATTTCAAAACTCTGAAAATATTTTCTTTTGTTTTTATATAATTTTTCTATTGAATATAAAGTTTCCTAAAAAAGAAAATTTTCGATTAATCAATGAAAAGAAGTTTAATCTAAAAGGAAAATGTTCTCGTTAGAATTCATCTACTAATAGATCAAGATTTTTTTGTTTTGAACAGTTGATTAAAATATTTCTAATATTGTTTATAATAAAGAATAATATTTTTATTATTGAATTGAAAATAAATTGTTGTTTGACTATATTATTTTTTTATAATTGAATTTTGTTTTATTTAAAAAAAAACAACTAATTGTTTTGTGAGAAATGTTTTCTATTCGACTGTTTTAAATAGTGGAACATTTTTAGAAGATCTTATATGAAAATTTTTCAAATCGTTATTTTTTCTTCAAGAGTTTATTTTGAATCAATATAACAAAAAAAAAATTGACTATTTTATTTTTTTCTTGATCGGATAATTTATTCTTATTAAATTGAGAAGAATTGACGATAGTTGAGTTGGACATAAATTTATTATAGAAGAGAGATAAAATCTTATTAGACAAAGAAATGATTTTTTTTTCCTTCTTTCCTTTTCCTTTTTTTTTTTATGCTTGGTTCGAAGGATACGACGATTCATTTTGTTGTTTTCTGTTTTTTTTGCTTTTCTCTATCTTTTTTTAGTTACTCTAGATGGTCTAGAGTTAGTCGTTCTAGTCGGTGGTTGGTGCAATGGAAACTCGACATTTGTCGACCGATGTTTTTCCTCATGAAAAAAACTTGCTCAAATCAATATTTTATCCACAATTTGAGTCATCATTAATAGAAAAAAAATATCAATTAAGTTATTTAACAAATATTTATCCAACAAATCATCGTTTATTAGTCATTATATTAATTAGTCATTCTATACTTAAGATATTTGAACTATTTTATTTAAAATTTGAAATAAATTCTTCTACAATATTATGTTTATCATTATTATGTTCAAGTTTATGTTTAAATATTCTTTCATTAATAATAATCAATTTTATACGAAATCGTTTGTTAGCAAATATAATATCATTTATATGTTTATGTCCATTGATAATATTAACTTGTTTATATCCAATGGATTGTCATATTTATTTTTTAATTATATTAATATATACATTACCAAATTTTCCACTTCTCTTTTCAATATTAATATCAATTATAATAACAATACTGGCATTACAGTTAAAAATGCGTTTAATACTATTATTAATTATTAATTTAATTGGAATTTATTTAAATCGTTTATTAGATATAACAATGCATTCAGCATATAATCAATTATGTAAAAGTAAGTTTAAATTATATGTCAAAAAAAATAAATAAATTATGTTTATTTTCTCTTGAATCTAACTCAGATGCTATTGTTCGTAATTCATTATTAAGTGAACATACATTAATATCAAAAATGATTGATTCATTAATGCCACAAAAATATTCTAAAGAAATCATGGAAGATTTTGATGTATTTCGTGAACGTTTACAAAAGCTTAATTTATCACATAACGATGAAGATGATTTACGAAGAACTATTTTTCGTCCATTACATATTGAAAGAATGGAAAATGTTTCAATATTATTTGCTGACATTGTTGGTTTTACTCATATGTCATCAAATAAAAGTGCATCACAATTAGTTTCATTATTATCTGATTTATATGGAAGATTTGATGATTTATGTGTTCAAATGTCATGTGAAAAAATTGCAACATTAGGAGATTGTTATTATTGTGTTAGTGGTTGTCCAGAACCTTGTAAAGATCATGCTAAATCTTGTCTTTTAATGGGTTTAGCAATGATTAATGCTATTGAAGAATTTGATCAAGATAATAATGAACAAGTTGATATGAGAGTTGGTGTTCATTCGGGTTCAGTTAATTGTGGAATAGTTGGAACAAAGAAATTTAAATTTGATATTTTTTCAAATGATGTTACTTTAGCTAATAAAATGGAATCAACTGGAAAACCTGGTAAATATTTATTTGAATTTTTGTTTTTATTCTTAAATATTTAAATAAATATATTTAGGTTATGTTCATATCACAGAATCAACATATTTATTAGTTAAATCAGATGAATTTCAATTTGAACAAGGTCCATCATTTAAATTAACAGACAAAGGTTTATTTTTATTAAATAAATATATAATAAATAAATAAATATTATATATATAGATGAAATAAAAACATATTTTATTGGCAAAAGACGTTTAAGTCATCGTATAACTCGAAAACCTCCACAAATGACATTAGCAACTGCTGCTGCATTTGCTGTTGCATCAGGTGTATCATTATCTGTTCCATTAAATGATAATAATTTTCTATCAAATCAAACAACAATACCAGTAAGATATTTATTTATTTATTTATAAAAATTTAATTTTTCCAAAAAATTATTAATTAAAGAATGTTTCAAGTCCATTATTAGAAGAAGTTGAACAAGCTCGTCGTGCAACAGTAAGTGAAGATGATCTTGAACAATGTTTAACAACAAATAATAAAGTCAATGAAAATATTATAAATGATATTAAAATTGAAAATGAAGAAAATCAATTAATTATTCCATTAAATAAATTAACATTAAAATATAAAGATAAATCATTAGAAAAAACATATTCAACGAATATATTTCAATATAAATTAATTATAATTGAAATCATATTATCAATTATAACATATGTAATATTATTAATTTATTTACCAAAACGTATATTATCATCAATTATAATATCAATATTTATATTAATACAATTAATATTAACATTATTTATAATACGTTATCATGATATTTATTTAAATATATCAATATTTAAATATTTATTTTCAATATATTTTTTATTTTCACCATTTATTTTAATATTAATTGGAACAATCGATCAATATTCAATAACATTTTTTGCATTTCTTATATTTATTTCAACTTATTTAACATTATCACGATCAATATCTCATTTAATTAAAATTTTTTTTGCAATTATATCAATATCAATTTATTTAACATTTATTTTATTTAAATATGATATAACAAGTTAGTAGAATTTTTTTTTTGTTTTTTTGTTCTTCTACTTATTAAAAATAAAAAAATAAAAACGAAGGATAAATTTGTTAATATATAGGATCATCAATAGTGAACATAATTGTTTGTATATTAATATCATTAATAATATTATATGGAATAAATCGTCAAATTGAAGTTGCTTGTCGTTGTCAATATTATGTTGTTAATAAATCATCTGAACAACGACATGAAATTGAAAAAGAACGTGAAAGAGCTGATTGGCTTTTAAGAAATATTTTACCTGAACATGTTATTGAACCATTACGTCAATTAGGTGGATCATATTCACGTAATCATCCATGTGTTGCTGTTCTTTTTGCATCATTAGTTAATTTTCATGTTATGTATGAAGAACAATATGAAGGTGGAAAATTTTATGCTAGAATTTTAAATGAATTTTATGGAGATATTGAAGAATTATTTCTTGATCCAAGATTTTCAAATATTGAAAAAATTAAAACTATTGGAGCTACATTTATGGCTGCTTCAGGATTACAAACAGAGTCAAATAATCAAAATTCACTTGGTTAAAAGAAAAAAAAAAAACAATATTTTTTTTGTTTTAAAAAATTTTCTTTTTAATATTTTAGAATGTGTTTGTGATCTTATTGAATTTGCATTAGCATTTCAACAAACTATGCATAGATTTAATGAAGCACTTTTAAATTTTGCATTTGAACTTCGAATGGGACTTAATTTTGGACCGGTGACAGCTGGTGTTATTGGTACAACGAAATTATTTTTTGATATATGGGGAGATACAGTTAATGTTGCTTCACGAATGGATTCAACTGGACAAAAAGGAGAAATTCAAGTTCCAGAACATGTTGCATTTGCATTAAAAGATAAATATATATTTGAACGTCGTGGTGAAATTGATGTTAAAGGAAAAAGTCGAATGACAACTTATTTTCTTAAAGGAAAATTAAATGTATAATAACACTATTTGAACAATGCTTTTTTTTTTTTTTTTTTTCTAAAATATCTCATAGGATAGATTTATTTACTTTAAAAAAAAAAAAACAAAAAAAAATTTTTCTAGACTATTATTATCAATAAATTTCATTGAATAAATTTTAAAGAATAATAATTAATTGAATATAATTAAATGATAATATGTTTAAGTAGCTTCAAAAAAAAAAAAAAGAATTCAACTAAGATCAGATAAATGAGATAAAATAAGTATTTATTATAATGAAATTGTTTCAATTAAGTAAAATATTGACAAATTTGTTTGTCAATATGAAATAGTTGAATAATAATTTTCATTTTCTTAAAATGACTTGTTTTATTTGATAAATAGAAGAAGAAAGTTCGATGTTTCAATTGAATTATTCAATTGTATCGAATGAGATTTTTCGCTTGTCTTTCATCTAACAAATCTCAATCAACAAACGACTAACTAGATTTATCTCTATCTTATCAATATATTTATAGTTTGTTTGTTCATTTTGAAAATCAAATAATAAGATAAGTCTATTAATTATGTTCAACTAAATGACTTTTTTATATTCAACGGATATTAATTATTACAAAACAAAAGATATGTAACTCTTTGATAAATATCTATTATTCTATTTCAACTAACCATAAATCAACAAAACATTGTCTTTTATTATTTTTGACATATTTATTAAATATTCAATCAATAATTGACAAGATAAACATTTCAATAGATTTATCTCAACAAAAAAAAAACAATTATAGAATATTTATTTTATATAATCATATAGAAAAAATATATTTTTTTCAAAATTCAATAGACTCATTATCATCTTTATTCCGAATAATGAATTTTTTAGTTTTACTTTTGGATGTTGACATTTCAATTTCTAATTGATTATATAGATGAATATCAATATAAATCATTTATTGATTTTTAGTAGCAGAATTATATAAATATAGTCTTTTTGACATATTCTATTTATAAATATGAAAAATTTTCAAATAATTTATGCATATAAACATATTATATATTATTTGTTTTATATAAGGATGGTTAATCATAGAAAAATATTTTTCATATTAGATTTATTCTATTTATTTTAGATGAAAAAAAAAAGCTTTTCTTGATGATTAATATGACAAAAACAAATAGTAGAAATTTGATAGATTAATACAATCAGAATTCATTATATTTAATAATATCTTAGTGTTAAATCTAATTCTATTAGATTTATGAAATCTGACAGTAATATCCTATCGGATGAATTCGAGCTGATTATTTAAGACAAGAATCATGTTTTTCTTCTTTCTTTTTTTTTCAAATCGACATTCACTTGAAAAATGATATTAGTTTAGTAAATAATCAACTTAAATCAATCATGCTCTTAATTAAATGTTCACTATCATAAAATTAATAATCTAACGAAATATTTGCACATAAATAAAAAAAAACGTTCGAATTATCGTCTTTAATCATATTAAATAATTAATGTGTCAATGAAATTATATTAAATAGAGTCGACAAGATACTTTTTTTTTTAGTCTTCACGTTTAGCTTTTGTCAGGTAATGTCAAATGTTATTTAGTGTATTAATAAGTTGAATTATCTAGAAGTGTATTATATAAAAAGAAAAGAAAACTGGAAAGAATTTGAAATAGAGGAAGAAGAATGAGAGTGATAGATATTTATTTCTTGAAAATATCAACACTTTTTAATTATTATTTAAATGATGAAGTCATATGTAATAGAACTAAATAGGTATTAATCTAAACATCATATTCAAAGAAGTTTAATATAAAATGATATACTACAGTCATATAATTATTTTTTGAAGATAAATATTTATTATTTATTGTTATCAACGGTCTATTTAAATGGTATCAATTTACTTTAAAAATATTTTTAAAATAGTTTAACTGTGTGAAACGATTCATTCGAGATATGTAACAAATATATATTCCTGCGATGAAAGAATTCTCTTTTAACAAGTCGATTAGTTGATCAGTTTGTTTGTTTTTTTTTACAACAAAAGCAATATATCAATAGATATTTCCATACAAAATCATTATAATTATAACTATTTCATATAAGCAAAAAATTTTAAATAAAATAAATAAAACATTGTCGAAACAATGAAAATTAGACGAAAACTCGTATGAAATAAAAATTGTTAACATAGTGATTTATATTAAAAAGACTTGTCAGTGGAGCTGCTTTTGCCATCAATTCTCAACACATAATATATCATGATAATTTATGTTGATTATATGATGAATATCTGAGAATAAATGCATTAGAATCCATGATGATTGATATATTGAATAGATATGTATTCATCTTCGAAAAAATGCAACATTCTACTATAATATAATGTAAATTATACGAAATATATTTATTGAAAGACATTTCAAACAAAGAATTCATTTCTTCTTTTGCTCTGCGCTTTTGGCAAACAAACATACAATACAGATAATCATCGATACAACTACAAGTAAATACTATACATTAGCAGATAATGATTATTCCTGTAACAATACAAGTTTTCGATATCAATCATCAAGTTTCGGATAATACTATGATATAAACTTAATTTCGATTCAATATGTTGATTACATGAGATAAGATGCTACTAAACCACGAACAAACTATTCACCAACAAACAAATAAATTATCAACAAAATAGAACATTTCATCTTGTGAAGAACAGTCAGACGTATGAAAGACAGTATCAAATGGTAGAGACATGACAACGTCATCTTCCATAGAACACTCTTGTACGACATATCACTGAAAACAAAAATAACAGGCGAACGATAATGATGATTTTATTACAATAGGATGTAATAAATCAAAAGAGAAATCATTCGATAAACAGTAAACAACAAGCTAATCAAAAGCAGCAAACAGCTTCAAGCTTCAATGCAGATAATAATCAACATTTTAAATAAACCTATTCTTACAATCATAATAAATATAACATGCTACGAGATCAACTAAAACAAACAGTGATTCACAATATACTATGCTTCAATATTACTTTCTCTAATACTGATTAACCATGATTGGCTATTTCCATTGTTCTTTTCGTGGAAAACAAGTTCAATTTGGGCCTACATCATAGAGCTGATTACTTCATACTGTGTGATCCGAAACAATAGTTTATTCATAAGAGAATGCAATGGACAATTCTGACTAGGTCATATTGACATAGGAAATAGAATCTGTTCAGTCATACTATATACACCAACAAACACATTAATTTATTGTACAAAATGCTGGCAAATAGCTCACACAAGAGACAAGTTTCAAGAATCAAATCAGAGCCGGTCAGAACCGGTTTACCATTTCTCAACCTGTTTTAGCCTCTATTTCAACGTAGCTACCACGCAATGAAACAGCCAAAAAACAGATAAACGAAGAGAATTTGCTAAAAAAAATGGAGTGAAGACAACCAAATGGCATATCTATTCAATGCTAGGAATTCATATAAAACGTTCAGATCGTAATATATAGAATTTCTCAATGGTTAAATAGAAATCTAATCGTTAAGATCAGTATCTATCAGTGATTCAAAAGGTTTTTTCATCGACTGTAATTGAAGTAGAATATGATGAGATCTTGAAATCAAAAAAATCAGTAGGTAGATGTTTTAATGAATGCTTAGTCAATAGCCAACGTTCAAAGATTTGGAAATTGACTGAAATCCAAATCTTAAATCAACTGAAAACAGGAATATTCAGTTGTGAACAAACCCGACCGATCTTGCTACTTGCTATGTATTCTGAAATATACCAAGAAAAAAAAACATATGATCTTGTTTGTTACGTGGCTCTTCTTGTCAAATTATTTCGAACGCAAATACTTGTCATAATTTTAAATTTAATAGTTAACTGATTAAATGATAGAAGAGTATTTGTTTTGCTTTGTGAACTATAAATCAAATGAATTCAAAATAAATATGGATCTCTCTCAAGATAGCTCTCTGAACGCGTACATCTTCATTCTCTATCATATAGATATAACTTCTTGTATCGGAGGTTTCGCTACGTATCTATTTGCAAGCAATCTTATCACATTAATTGTCTCTCCAACTCAAAGGAGATTTAGACAAATTAGGAAATTAATCAACAATTCAGGATTCAAAAATATATCAAAACTAAGAAGAGAAGAAACCTACGCAAAATAGGGTATCTCTTTCAATAATGTCGATATCAATAAAACATTCCTTAAAATTTCAGAACACTTCCACCTCTATTTGTCATGAAACATAACAATATAAAATAATATTTCCTCACAGTTATTATCTGGGACTAATTTAGAATAAAATATTCTGCAATCTTTACTACATTTCACAGCAATTTATGTATCACCTCTCTATAGTGAACTTCTCCGTATAGTGAACGCTTTTAGATGGTCTTAATCATGTTCACAATAGAGAGGTTTTTCTATATGTTATAAATTAATCGATGATTATTGAATATAATTAAGATTTAAAGAGATAAAAATAATTGTAATTTATGTTTATATGAATAAAAATATGTTGATCTATTTTTGTTTTTCAAATATGTAACTTTTAACTGTATTCACAAATGAAATTATTTTCCTATCATAAAAATGAATAATAAATATTTGCATTGAAATGAGTCAACTTTTTCGATGTTATCTTGAAGTATTTTGTTGTGTTCCTTTATTTAAAGAGTATTCTATACTGTCCTTGATAAAGTAGACTTTTTCCTTGAATATTTTGCTGTTGTTATTAAATAAATTATTTGTACGATAAGATAAAATATTATCATTTGTAATCTTTATTGAAGAAACAAATAGTTTCTATTTTCAATTTATTCTTATATTAAAACTTTCTGTTTAAATTTATTTCTAAGGTAACATAAAACATGTTTAAATGTAAGTTAAATGAAATTTATTTAAATATTAAATTAAATTCATGTTTTTGTTTAAAGTTATTTTGTTAATATTAATAATCAATATTCAAA